AAATTTCCAGAGTTTTTTTATTTTAAAAAATTCTATATTAAAAATTCTTAAAAACCTTTGAAGATTTTTGAAGATTTTTTCAGAAATTTTCTGATAATATAATTTACAAAATATAATAATGAAATAAATTTTTGTAAATTGTAATTTTTAATATTGTTGTAATATATAATGTCAAATAATTTACTTTTCAATCACAAATGTTTTTATTAATAAATTTTATAAAAATTTTATTGTCAAATGTTTTAAAAAAATTGTCAAATGGTTTATTTTTTAAATTGCTAAATATTTTTATTTTTATTGTTAAATTGTTACATATTTTTAAATTGTTAAATGTTATGCTTTCATTGTTAAATGAATATATATTTTTAAAATATTAAATATATTAAATTCAACCAAACATTAAAAATTTGAAATGAATTTTTATTAATAAATTATTTAAAAATGCATTATCTCAAATTTTATCTTTAAAAAAGAATTTATTTGATTTCACATTTTTACTATACTATATATCCAAAATCCAGATTTGTTTAAATTTTTTCAAGTCCGAAATATATATATACTGTATATTTAAAATAATTTAATATAATTCGATGAGCATCATATAGATATCAATATACAGTATTTTATATTTACTGTATATTGATACTTGAGAGTATGCGGATATACGGTATCTACTTTTGATTTTAAATTAACTAAATGTGATAATAATAAAAGACAAAAAAAAAATATTGCATGCAATGTCTAATTGAATTTTTTAATTTATTTTTCGTATTCTCGTATTATAAATATATAAATATTTATTAATTCAAAAAATATCAATAAAAAATAATCGAACCAATAGGAAATTTTGGTCTGATCAAATCGCACAAAGATCATTCTCTCCGGGATCCAGGTATTTCATTATCCTTTTTCTCACATAAAATACCGTCGCTTTACGCGTACACGTTGGAACATTTTTTAAAGTTTAGTAAGTTATTTATTTTTTTTATTTTTATTTTTTTTTGGATGAAAAAGCAATACAAATTCAGAGAGAACAAAAAAGAAAAAATATTTAACAAGACTTTATGTGAATAGCATGGAAAAGCTTTATATATAATATACAAGGATTAGAAGGTGGAGGAAAAATAGAAGGGTATATATAGATGTTTGATGTGTGTGTATTTTAGGTAGTAACTCTCCCATCTTCTCTTTATTTTTTTCTTTTCCCCCCTCCCACAGGGGAACTTTATGTTTTTTTTTGTTTTTTTTTAATAGGTTAGGATTTTATAATATAGCTTTTGTTAGAAAAAAAAATGGAAAAAATAGCTGTATTTACAAGGTATACACATTTTAAAAAGAAAAAAGAGAAATTACGACAAAAATTTACAATGTTCTGTAGTTTATAGAAAAAACTCGGGATTGATAAAAGAACAGAACAATGGCTGTTTTTGAATATGCGGCACTACGAAAGGGTGTTTTTCAAAAAAAAAAATAAAATAAGAAATTTTCATAAAACATCGTAAACGTAAAAAAAAAAAAATAAAAGATCGAGTTTTTCATAAAAGCGAAGTAGTAAATCTATAATATTTGATTCGATGAAGAAAAAAATCGTGTTTGATAAGCGGATTACGATTCGATGCGTTCATTGAAAAAAAGTCGTTAAAATCGAATTCGTGTGATAATGTTTGATAAAAATTTAACAAGCGACATCATCTTCGTCATTTACGTTGGTTGTTGTTCGGGTTGCGGAAAGTTTTGGCGAAGATGGTTAATTGTTGGCATCCATTAAATTCTGATGTCGCTCAGATCGGAAGACGGGTCGCGGTTGCCCTTGATGTTGTTGCTCAATGATCCTCGACGGGAGACATCCGATTTTCGAGGCACGTGATATTGAATGATATGATTATTATTACATACGTTGCTGTGGTAATGGCGTTCGCTTGTTGCTGAAGGGAACACCTCTCCGGGTTGCACAGTTGGTCTTTCGTTTACGTGACTTTCGTGAGCACGTGGCTGATTTGATTGTTGCACGCATGTTGAATTTTTCGATCTTTTACAATCGTGCTCCATCTTTATTCTATGGGCAAGTCTTTCGTAACGTCTTCTTACGCTCTCTGGTTCTTCATACCACATTTTTCCAATGATCCTTGAAGGGGGTTCCACCGGAGGGTTTGAAATTATGCCATTGGCCGTCAATTCTTTGCATTTTACTTTGTAATACAGGGCGGCAGCATAGAATGTCCTTTGCGATATCCCTGGATGAACCGGTTGACCTTGGTCTCTAAAAGGGACTAATATACGACGACGTCGTTTCGATCGATGTGAGTCGATTGCCGTATTGGTAGTAGTCCTCTGTTTCAGGGGTGAAACGTTAAGATTAGGAACGTGATGAGCAGGAGCCGTAGACGTCGTTTGTCGAGAATCATTAACATCATTAGTCGCGGCCAAACTGAATTTCAGCAGGTCACGATGAACTAGAACGGGGCGATATCCGTCAGGAACCCAGTATTGCTGCATATTTTCTCTGTCACATGAAAACCTTCGAGCCTGGGTTTGTAACATGAATTGTTGATGAACCGAATTAGAGGAGGCCGTCACATTCGGTTGTTGCAATAATTGTTCCTTTGGAGGATACACGAGAACTTCATACCGAAAAGACTTCGCAGAACCCATAGCGATGATTTCCTTTTTTTTTTAAAGAAAAAAAAAAAAGTATTGATAGGAGGAGGAGAGGATGAGAGATGGGTCCGTGGAAGTTGGAAAAAGGAAGAATGTAATCGGTATGTGTAAAAATTCTCGTGAACAAGGTTTTTGTATAAAGATGATAAGAGAAAAAAAAATTTTTTTCAAAAAATGGGAAAATCGATCATTTTTATCCTCCAGGAGGATATTATGTAGTGGTTGGTAATGTATACTACAACTATATTTATTTTGGTGAAAAAGTTTTTTTTTTTTTTTTTTAAGCAGTCGACGGTAAATCATGGAATTATTATTAATTCATATTTTAAATAATGGTGATTCCTTCTTTCTCTTTTCGGTTTGGAAAAAAAAAAAAAACAAACCTTTTTTATTAAAAATTTAAAGTACTCCTCTTAATAAAGTATTTAAATAATGATCAAAAAAGGAAAGGAGTATTATATTAGACAACAATGAATGATAACGAGGATTTATCATAAATAGATGCGCATAAAAAAAGTGGAATGAGAAAAGAAGATGCATAGAAAGCACCTGTAGAGAGATAAAAGAAAGGTAGGTCTTGTAAACAATTTCAACCTCGGCAATAAGTGGAAAAAAAAAAAAAGAAAAGAAAGAAACGTACGTACGTACATATGGCGGAATGGCATAAGGATGTATGCGGCTAATAAAAGGACATTCTTTAAAAGATATCATTGTTCAAATTGTCTCGAAAATGGATACAATTTTGTGTTGAACAGCAGAAATAATGGGAATAATTGTTATTCTACACTGAAATCCTCAATCCTGAAGAAGAGATTGAAGACAAGCAATTTACAACCTGTCAGTGATTGTTAAATTTCCCTAGATAGCAGGCAATCAGTTTCATCGACTGTGGATTAGGCACGTACTCCACCATCAACTTTACGTAAGTGCTTAAGTGATTTCGAGAAATTTTTTTTTGATACGCATCATGCACGTATATGCATAGAAAATTGAATACAATAGGATTTTTGCTTTTTATGCGCAATGTTCTTGTATGGCATAATAAATAACGTCACAGAAAGCAATTATTTAAGCGCACATAAATTTAAAGCATCCTGCACACGTAGTGTCTCCTAAGGGGAGAAAACTTATTTTCCTTTT